CGTTCCGTCTGTCCGCTGTCCGTCTGTCCGTCTGTCCGTATCTGTCCGTCGGTTCCGCTGCTGTCCGTCTGTCCGTCTGTCCGTCTGTCCGTCTGCCGTCTGTCCTTCTGTCCGTCGTCCGTCCTGTTCCGTCTCGTCCCGTCTGTCCGTCGCGTCCGTCCGTCCGTCCTGTCCGCCGTCGTCTGTCCGTCCTCTGTCCGTCCTGTCCTGTCCGTCGTCGTCTCGTCGCCCGTCGTCTCCGTCCGTCTGTGTCGTCTGCTCCGTCTGTCCGTCCGTCTGTCGTCCGTCTCTGTCCGTTCCGTCTGTCCGTCCGTCCGTCTGTATTTCGCCGTCCGCTGTCCGTCGTCCAGTCTGTCCGTCCGTCCTCTGTCGTCCGTCGTGTCCGTCCGTCGTCCGTCCGTCCGTCCACGTCGTCTGCCGTCCGTCTGTCCGTTCCGTCCGTCCGTCTCGTCGTCTGCTCCGTCCGTTCCGTCCTGCCGTCCTGTCGTCGCGTCCGTCCGTCCCGTCAGTCCGCCTCCGTCACGTCCTGTCCGTCCGTCTGTCCGTCTCCGTCCGTCTGTCCGTCCGGTCCGCTTGTCCTGTCCGCTCCGTCCGTTGTGTCCGTCCGTCCGTTCCGTCCGTCCGTCTGTCCGGTCCGTCCGTCCGTCGCCTCCGTCCTCCGCTCCGTCAGTCGTCCGTCTCCGCCGTCCGTTCCGTCCGTCTGTGGTGCCCGCCTACAGTCTTCTGAGTCAAGGATGCATTTTCACAAAATGATCGACCAATTAAAAGTAGTTTTGCCCCTGTATTTTTTTGCAGGGTTCTTTACCATAAACCAGACATTTTAACATTTTCTCCAAAATGGACTCCATTTTTTTTAAAATTAAACACCTCCTTCCTCGGAAGTGAAGTGAAGACATTCAAACGTTGCGGCGTCAGCCAACAACTGCATTTTTTCAGATAGAGATGTTTCTTAATGAAATTTATGGGGTCAAAACAAATCTTGAAATAAGGCCATGGACACTTTTTTCTAAAATATGAGTAGTTTTTTCGCAATTTTTCACGAATCAGACAATCTCGAAACCATTTGAAATACTATTTTTTTTTCAAAAACTAGTTGAATTTTTAATTTGTTCCCGGCATGTATCGAAGAATGGTAAAGAAAGTGGTGCTGGTCCCTTTTCGTCTAATTTGCCTTGAATTAGCTTTCACGCCAAACTCACCACGATTGGTAATGAATTTTACAAGTGATGCCTGAAATGTGTTAATATGGACAGACATTGCGTTATTAATAAACTTCCTTAACTGTTAGTGAGGCGAAAAAATACGGGGTCTTATAGCACCACTACTTTAATCTTAATCTTCATGGTTGAAACCGTAAAATAATTAAATTACGAAGTAATCTCAGTAATTTCTGTATCAATACAGAACACACACCCATGATTTAGGCACCACTTAATCTGATTTCCTTGTATATAAAATAAGATTATAGTTATATTTTGAACGATCATTGAAAGAATTGAAACTATTTGAAACGAATATGCTGTTATAAGTAGACATTTCTTTCACATATCACTATTTTAATTTATCATATCACACAATGCTCCTTTGTGATTCGGTGGTATGTAGAGGAATGCGCAAGCCGTTGTTCGAACGACGTAGCAGATTTTTCTTGAAAAATAATAAAACAATGTCAATGTCAGTATAATTTGTTCTATACATAAAAGCTGTTATTTGAAGACTTCTATACATCAATATGATTAAGTAGTACATTACATAACTGCATAACTTATACCAAGTAGTCATTAGTCCCGAATGAGAATAAATGTGTGTGCAATCTTCATTTGAGATAAACTACAAATGAGACACTACGTCGATACGCAAATGTTAGAGCAGCAAGAGAATAAAACTGATAGCCATGCTACATTTGTATAATAGTATATTAGTACAGACTTTCTCGCATTTCATGTAACGGCTGCGCAATGGTTACGGAGGAAATGTGAAAATAATTGATGATGCAGTTTTTTTTACGAAAGGCATTATGAAAGGGAATTACGAGAGGAAATTATGAGACAGAATTGGGAGGGAAATATGAAAAGACAAACCGAGGGAGTTAACATCTAGTTAATTAGAAAATCAATCAATCTCAATCATTAAAATTAGATAAAAAATAAAACATTATACGTACATCGGGCGTTAACTTGTTCTAATAATCTCGGGAGACAAATGAACTTCTACGGCATTTGCGGCTTCATGTAAAATTCTCCCCAAAATCAAAATATCAGAAGCCATTCACACGAGGTTTTTCGACTGCAGCTTTGCTATACTTTCAGTTTACAAAGTAATTATGTAATATTTGCAAGAAAGTAAAAATATTTTTAGCAAGCGTTATTAACATAGATCATCACTTAGAAAAGGGAGAAAATGTCAAGAGTTATAAAGGATAATTACCAATTACTTATAATGACTATTCCACTTATACCTATTAGTTTGGATCCAGCCACTTACGTTTTGTAGTAAGATGGTTACAAAACCAATCACCGACGCCTAAAATCGGAAAGTACACATGTATACACGAGTACAATATATATTTTTTTATCTATTTTTAAAGTTGTGTACATACTATTTAATCGATTTAAGACATTTATTCGTGGAATTGTCAAACTGAGTTTCATTCGTGGTTTAAAACTTCTCAGACAAGGCGCTCGACGCTGTGCGATTCGCGAACGTTCCAATACGTTTCTAACGGCAGGTGCAATTTTCTTAAGATAATTCCATGTAAACGCCGTCTCCTTAAGGCATCCATTATCAAGTTTATTTGGGCCTCCAAATCATTGCGATGTTTTGCTCTTCATGTGGGAGGGGGTGGTGGTGGGGGTGGGGGAAGGTCGCAACGGGGCGCGCTATCGTCTGCGCCAGGGGTGACCAGAGCCAGCGCGACTCGGCTTACCAACCGGCCTCCATTGTCGTCAATTGTCCTCTCGCCCTCCTTTGGGTTTTAAGTGTCCTCCTTTTAGTAAATGTTTAGTATTTGTTGTCATTATGTCATATCATGTCCAATACCTTCTACCAGTAGCGTAATGATATCATATTATATATATATATATATATATATATATATATATCCGGGCCCCATTCGTGAAAGTGTATGGCAAAACAGTGTTAAATAATAAAAATATCCCCTAAAAATAGGCCCTCTTTTACCCTGGCCCGACCGTTACGCCACTGACTTGTACGTTGTATCGTTTAATTTATAATGGAAAACATGAATTATTCTTTTTCTGAACGCTGACACACGCATATACGCTAGTATGTCTGTCTTGCGAATAAAAAGAAAGAAAAGAACAAATATACTTAAAATATTGAATGTAAGAAACGCAAAAATATTATTTCAATTATTATTATTATCAGTATGCCGTTGACATCTGCAATTTGGAAACGAATCTTTTCACTTATGAATCTCAATTGGTAAGAAGAAAGAAGTAGATCTGATATTATTATTATTATTATTATTATTATTATTATTATTATTCGAGAAAAACTATTGTCTTAATTTTGACAGACTTCTGCGCTTCAGGCTTTTGCGATTTTATAAAAGATAATAATGCTTTCCTGTAATCTAGCAGAAGCGAAAAAAAATCCTTTTTTCTCCCTTTTTTCTTTTTTTGCTTATTGAGCGTCCTCCAATTTACATGGCAACTCTAAGCATGGCCCACACGAACAGCATAGTAGCATGCATCTTATTTTACCTAATCGATTTCGGTTCAAAAATACTAATATTTGGTTGTATTACACAGGCTATTCTCACACTACGCGAACCGACTGAATTCTCATTTTTAGACCGCCATTGCTTACGACATAGCTGACGTCCTGTGACAGTAAGGCTTCAAGGTAGGGACCGCCCCCCACGCAGAATAGGTATTTGCTATTCCTGCGTTGTGATATAAAACAGCAACTTTTTTAATGCCAAAAACTGTAATACGTATTGTGCTGTGTATCCGTATATGCTTTACTGTGTTATTGCGGTATTCGCAAAGACAGTTTTTGTTAAAATATTTAACTCACTGCAGTATCACATGACTGTATTTGTTCTTTCTCTCCAGTAGAGTGGTTTTGTTGGGTAGCTTTTTCGTGATAGAGCCCACTATTTAAACGAACGATCTATGTTTAAACTTCTAAGATGTGCTGTCTTGTTTCTGGGACTTTAGACGCTTTTTAAGTTGTTATCACGTTATTCAACCTGCATTAAAAGTTCTTCCTCGTTCTCCTATTCCCATTTGGCTTCGATTCCATCTCTCCCTTCGAGATTCATTCTCTAGTTACTCTTTTTATGTGGCGGAACTTACATAAAGGAGGTCGGTCTGTATGTCAGTGTGTGTGTATGTGTCTCTTTCTCCTTTCTCCCCTTCCCTCCCCCTCCCTCTCTCTCTCTCCCCCTCCTCCTCTGTCCCCTCCCCCTCTTTCTATCTGTCTATCTATCTATGCCCTGCGCTGCTCTAATTCTTTCATAACACTATTCTAGTAATGTTTTATTTTATATTCTATATCTCCTCGAAATGTTAATTTCTGTTGCTCACACTTTATTTATTTGTTAATTTCCAGAAATTGATCCCACATTTGCATCATGCACGACAAGACATTCTCATACACAATTATTTTTGAAAATCACAGCGCCATGGTAAACGCAATAGCTCGTATGTAAAATTTAGGGAAGTTTCCAATAGAAGCGAAACACGTTCCCTACCTCTCGCTGTCTTGACAATCGCTTTCATAAATGTACAATCATGATATTCGTTTTATCATTAATCCGTCGTCTTAGGACCTATTGCAACTGCTGCAGTTCTCTACATTTAATCCAATGTGTAAAACACAAAAAAGTGATTTTTTTTGTCATGCGACCTATTGCGTTTACCACGACAAACTGTGTTTGTCACCCCTGCAGTGTGGGATGCATTTGTACATGTTTGCCTTTCACCCGCTTCAGATCACGTGACTTTGGAGTTGTAACGGAGCTCTCGGCGCGGCGGCGGCGGAGGAGACTTAGTCTTGCGGCAGCGTCGCCCACGGCATGGAAGGGGCGTGCGCGGGCGCGAGCGGGGCGTCACCTTGGGCGGCGGGGGCGGGCAGCTGCGCGGCGGCGGGGGCGCCTGGTGCGGCAGGCGTCAGCGCCATGCTGTTCGGCGCGCTGTTGGCAACCCTGACGCAGTCCCACAAGGACCTCAGCGACGACAGCAGGTGCCACTCGCTTTACTTGCATGCGTAAGGCCACGCGAAGCGAGGAGGAGGGACTTATGCCCAACAGACTTTCAAAATATTGAAAATAACTGAAAGCTATATTAAAATCAAATAGGGTATGTTATAGTACAAACGCGGTTTATTCGTCATCGACATAGCGATCGATGTAGACCGTCTACTAAGATAAGTACCAGTTAATGATTGGCCAGTAGGGTAGAAAGGTAAGAAACATGGGATAGAAAAAGCGATAAACTGTCTGAGATATACCGCCCTAATTGGGGCATTTGGTACGTATAGTTAAACACTGTTAGTTTTAATTTCACAAGTGCAATAGCCTTAAGTACGTATAATTTCACTGGTGATTTGAAACTTGTGATATGATAAGATCGCAAATCGCGTAGCGATGAGAGGACCTATCTGAACATTTTCCAACTACAAGTGGAATTCGATTAGACCATTTCACGATTAAAAATAATAAATAGATTAAATATTATAAACATAAAGTTAATAACAGCGAAAATCATTTCTTGCTGAGTCGTTTCAGACGCTATATTGATACGGCAGTTTCCGCCATGGAAGGAAATTTATTTATTTTGCGAAACATTTGAACTTCATCTGCGGTAACATCATAGCGGAAACTACACGTATGAACTTTTCGGTGTCAAGCATCCGTGATTAGTTTATAACCATCTTATTATAAAACGCTATTAGCCGCATTGAAAAAAGAGGTCGCGAGTGCAGTAGTCAGGGGAATTGTTAGTAACGTCATTAGCGCTACGCGAAGCAAATTACGGTTGCTGTTGAAGTCTGTAACCCAGCCAAGGTTCATAACCAAGACCTGTATGCGGCTGATGCAGACGAGCCGATTTGGGGCGCAAAATCGGTCGGGCGATGTCGGAAGCACAAACCAAATGAAGCAGATCGCCCTCTGACAGCTGACCGTTTCGGACACGGCCGTCTCCGCCCAGCGGAAGGCACGCGCCACATCGGGCGAAAGCGCCCCCGCCACCGGCCAAACGTTCCTTCAAATCGGCTTCATTGGGATCGCCGCCTTATTTGTAATGTTGGCCGTGCGTCATTCAACAATATTTTAATAGTACTGTCTGTAGATAAATCCTTAAAAATTAAAAGTTCATATGTGTTTATAGGAATACGCATACGGCATTTACAATTCATTCGTTTCGATTGATCTTAACGGACGGTGACCTTTTAAATAACTTACACATATCTTTCACGTGTAACAAAAATAGGTTAAAATAATATATTTCAGGAACCGTTAACACCATCATTTTTTTTCAGTTTTACAGAGGAAAGAGGGCATTACTAATTCAAGTGTGTGGTGCATGTGCTGATGGTGACTGTTTTGTATACTGAATTACGTAATCAGAGCTCCATTAGCTCGCGCCCTGCGCAAACATAGTAACTAGCGAGCATGTAAATCAAACGGATCCACTCCAAATAGATAACCTGCACAAATGCACTATTACACTGTAAGAACGCGCCACTAGTTATGACAATTTCACAATGTAAGACTGTAACGGGTGAATAAATAAAATTGTGTATTGCGTTACGTCACGACTGCACTCTAATACCCGAATACACTCCGCATCACACAGAAGAATTTTCATTTATCACACTGGGAGCGCATTCCGTGAATACATCACAAAACAAACAAAAACGATGGAGCTCGTTTCTCAAGGCCATGGGGTAATGTCTCCTACCAGAACTTCGGCTGCCTAATGACTGCAACACGCAAGGTGTCAAGCGATTGGCGTTCTATTTCCGAAGGGCTGTCAATCTTTTGCATCATTTACGAGTCTGGGACGGCCGTAGTCTTGTCAGAAGCATATATTTCAACGAAGATGAAACATAAATGATACTACATGCGTCTTAATCTTGAGAGACCAATTGTGCGTGTGGGGGCAATTGTGCTATCATATGATAACGTCACACACCGCCTGGCGACATTTCTGTGAATGGCAGAGGACAAGCTCAGGTCTCTGTCCGACTGCGACAAAAGGTTAAGGTGGAGTCTCAAATGTCTCTTAATTTCTTACTTTAATTTGTGATAATTGAGCACGATTAACTATTGCAACTGACTGAAGCTTAGTTCTCAAAGTAAAGAAACGTGAACAATTTGCTATTAGATTTTTTTCTGCTACAATCCGCCCAAATAATTTGCACAGCAAACTTAAAAGTGTAATTAATGAAACACTTCAGATAATGTGTTTTTACCTCTGGCGGCTACTGAATAAATGATGCAGGTAGGCAATTTGTCGAAGATATTCATCGTTTACTTCGTAAGAAAAGCTACGAGTAGTTTGTAGGTTTTATTAGCCGAATAAACGGATTTTTTAAACAAAGTAACTCGCAAAGTAATACGTACTTTGTAAATAATAATAATAATAAAGAATTCTTAACGTGTTATCTTAACAATTAAAGTATCTGCTCTACTAATGAAGCTGGAAACTAATATCGTCCATGTTAGCAGAAAGTATCATATTCCTTTTCCTAAGAGTAGAGCGCGTTTGCATCGAATGTTCATTAAACTTCCTAACTGTTTTATGCTCCTTCTGGGGCCAGGTTTCAGAATACAGAGCGAAGTGGTTCTTTGAATTGGAAGTACTTCACATGAAGACCCTAAGACATTTTCAAACTTTTCTCAAAAAGACACCATTTTTTTGTTTAAATTTCGTAAGAAAGGTGTGAAATAACTTAAATAGATGGCATTTAAGTACGATCTTCACTGTTAACTCTAAATTTCCGAAATCTAGAAAGGTTAAATTTATTTTCGGCGTCATCCCACAAACTGCATTATTAAAGATACAAATGAAATTATAAAGATTAAAATGAAATTAGTTTTCCACAATTAGCTCTTCATCTAATGTGATGTTCATTGCTTTAAAAGCATTATTACTTTTCATGAAATTTTGGGCAAATATGGGCAATACTTACAATATATTAGAAGTAAAGTTTTCTTATTTTCTTTACATTTTTTGAAACTGTACTACTAATGCACTAAACAACATGACGTAAATACCACTTTCGTGTATTGTGTTATTTCGAATATTACACAAATGTAAGTTTTTTTATTATCTCTCACGTCGTCAATATTTACCCAACGGCAGTGGTGACTCGTGGCCATGCATTAGGATGTGTAACATTTCTCTTCTCTCCACACCCCTCCCCCTCTGTCACTCGTACACACACTCACAGATTCTCATATGCGAAGGCATACATTACATGCATATATATATATATATATATATATAGTTATTAACATAAATAATGACAATTTAACTCAGAGCATCTCATGAAGTCTTATAGCTTGCTGAACGGTATGCGAGTATTTCATCAGCAGCGAGGGTTTCTCGCATTTCTTTTCACACCTGCTTCCACTTCGCTCGGCAACAACCCCTCTGAAATTACTACCAAAGTAGGATCTACTCAGCACGTCCCAGAACCGTTTTTTCAGGGGTGTTTGGAGATCTATAGTACAACTTGATTAAAACGTATTACTCGCACTTTTGAGTTGAATTGAATTGATGCTTTACTTTACATGGAGAGATTCACGCCATGAAGCTTGCTCTTCCGGTCAGATTTTACTTTTTGATACTATTCACGTCCCAATTACGTGGACAATCGTGAAAAGTGTGTTTTGGGCGCCAACACACAGCAACTGAGAAGAGGGCGGGGCAAAACCGAAAAGGCAGCCCAGACGAAAGAGATTCGGAGACGTACTTGAACGAGAACACTTCTGCTATTCTGTAGCGCCACTAGTTTCCTTTAATGTGAATCTTATTTCTATTTATGTAAGGTCGCGAATATATCTTCAATAATACGCAAATTTCATTAAGATTAGCATCAACCCGATGCCTTTTAGTTAATTTAACAAATTTGTGGCAGATCAGATCTCCTCATCAGCGTGACCAGAATAAAGTTTTGAAGTCTCGTAGCGAAAAACAACACATAAGAGTTAATTTGTCCAAATAACATTATAGCTTTCCAAGAAGGTAATTGATTTCTGATAACTTTATTAAATATTCTTTTTGTTTATTAAGTCAGATTTTAATTAACGATATTTAAAATCGATATACTTCTCATTCTCTTTCCTTTTTTTACACTGACAATACTTGGTCTGGCCCCATAAAATAGCAACTAAGATAATCGTACTAAGATCACACATCAAACGTTTGATAAGGTTAGATTTAGAATTTAGTACATTGCATAGCCGTCAAAAAACTTCCATTTCCTTTTTCGGATAAAAAGCACAAAACCTTTTCCTTGAACGCGATAAGGTAAGCATATTTAAGAGCGCTTACATTCACAAAGAGATAGCCTCATAATTAGAACATGAAATGTCAAGGATCAATTCTAACGTCCGACCCTCTTAAGAGAAAGGACAAAAATGAAGACCATATCACTATTCATGATTTACGTTTAACATCGAGAATATAATATGTTCTCCTAGTTAAACAAAGAAGTCTTATTCACAAAAATAGCCTCATTTCTTTGGTAGAAACCCAATGAGCAGAGATTCTTAACTCAAAAGATTGAAGAGCGTAAGTTTATAAAGTAATATGATTTATGAAGATCATGTATTGTTAATATTTTAAACTTCATAGCTAAATATTGAAAGTTAACAAATTATTTATAAAATATATCACGACGTACAGTTGCAACTTCAGATTACAACATGGGAAAAATCAAACAAGTGTAATAAATAAACACAAATATCATGTGTTTTTTTTGTTCGCTGTGCTGTTCATTCGATGCTCAAGACCATCCCCCTGTTCTTCCATCCATCTTAATTGCGATGATGAAAAACTGCTACCCCCTACTGCAGGAACCCTTCATGCCCAATTGATCCCCCCCCATTATCGCCAATTAATGCCATTTGAGAACAGGTAGGTTCGGAAAGTTCGCTCTTGTTTTATGGCCAGTTGTTTAAGGCACTCCTCTTGCAGCCACCCAGAATTGATCAGAGAAACATTCCCAGCAGAGAAGACAGCCCATTCATTTCTCATTAATGCACGACTCGCCACACAACAGGTTAACTCGCTGCATCCCTTACAGCAGTTGGTGGAGTCTGTTCCAGTCTTTTCCAGCCCCGCGCGTCTCTCGTGTCTTGACCAGGAAGTCTTAGTACTTCGGGGCAGAAACGATGGCTGAGAATTGGCATTCAACGAGAAATTCTGTACTCGGACTACGACGCCTGTCTCACTAAATCACTTAAGAACATCTTATCGAACTTAGTAAACAGTGTCATTCACTACGAAGGGTATTATTGATGGTGTTATCATCGAGAACAGATCACCAGCAACCACTCATCTTGACCCTTACCACCCAATACAAAACTGGCAGCAAATATGTAGAAAACAACGATGTAATCATGTTATGGTCAATTATAATTATAGACATTTTGATCTCCAAATCTCTTGAAAGTTGCGAGGACAGTTGGCCATTGGCAGCTTCTTTAGTGCTGCAGTCAATTTCTTATGGGAGTAAGGGAGCAAATCAACTCTCGCAGCCACGCTCCTTAAGGGAAACGTTAGTCCCTCTGATGGACGGGGTAGCTTCGAAACGCCTCCTGAGCGCGTCTCCGCTCTGAGAGGTCTCCTAGTGGTCACGCTACAATACCTCCCCTGTCTACGGAGCACTAGTTAAGAATTCAAAGCTGCATATGCTATTTCATTGTTTATGTAAACAAAACCACGTAAAAGTGTACGAAAAATGAACATGAATAAGCTTACCAATAAAGTCCACGTACTCTGGGTTCTTAAAATACCGCAAAATTAGGAAGGAACAGCAGCTCACCTGAAAAGAAGGAATACATATTAGTGTAATGGATTAAACAAAAGCACAGGAAGGAACAGAGAGTAACAGGTTTTGAGATTTAATATAAAACTGTAAACAATACCCTTTGCAATAAAAGGTGATTCATTACATGGGGAAATACATCCAGAAAATAAATAAGTAAAACCAGATGTAAAAAACTTCAATTAACCTATTATGAGCTGTATATATATATATATATATATATATATATATATATATATATATTATTTATGAAACGACAAAGAATCTATCGGTAGTTCCAGGACCAGTTTTAAGTAACAAAAATTCCCTGGTAAATTAGAAAAAAAGGTACATTACATTCGTCAAATTTAACGTAGGATCTATCAAATAGAAAATTTCCACTTCCGGATATTAAAATCTCCATGGTTAATGAGAAATAAACAGATTCAAAAAGTTTTGGTCTCACACATAAATCGCAGATCACTAATTATCACCTCGATTTTATTCGACCAGATACTATAATTTATAACATTGGTGAAACTAATACACTTCCTAGAATAAAATACAATGAAATACAGAAAATACCACATTAAAAAGATGTAATTCAACTTTCACAACTTTCACCTGAAAGTAAAGCTCTTATACCTATAAGACCATTCTTAAAATAAAACCATATCGTATAGTAAGTACATATTATTATAACAGATTTAAAATTATGAACATTTTAATTAGTACATCAGAGAACCTTGACAGGGTTCCCCTTCAATAATTGTTCAATACTGTATTATATTCATAATACGATTTGTGATATGAATAAATATATATTCAAAACTTGAAACGAAGGAATCATTTAATGCATAAGAGGATAGCAACTACTCGCAAACGCGACAGAATGCAGTGATCTACTCGTACAGAAGGCATCCGGCATCTGCCTTAGGTGCAATCCTATCGCAAACCAATAGGACGGGATCAAAGGCGGATCCACACGTAGATTTTCTCCTTCTTTCTTTAGCTACGGAGTTACTGCTTACTCGTTAATTCTTTTATTACCATCTTTTGCGCCCCCAGTGACAGTTTTGCTTTTCAACGCCCATCGGCTGCGTACGAAACAATTTTCAAAAGCCATGCGTAATAGCTTCGTGGACACTCCAGCGTTCTGTTAAAGCCAGGTTTGCCAACAAAAACCTAGAATCTTCTATTTCTATATGCCGATGTAGCGAAGAGTTATATACATTCGAAACAACACAGTGAATGTTGAACTAGTCCTTCAAATACAACGAGACCATCAGTGTCCCGGAAAGAAGGACCACAAGTATAGGAAATATTCAGAATATATCTTGCCATACTTTCAAAACTGAAAATATTTAACACAGCTTTTCAGAAAATGATTGTAATATATTGCCAAACACACATAAGATTAGTTCTTACATTATTAAATTTTTCCTTCAATTCCTTTGCAATATTTTATAAGGTCCACCGAAGACCTGCTGGGTAGCGACTGCTGATTGATTCCTTGATTGCGGGGGCGTCAATTAGCGAAGGGGCTAAGGGCATTAGTCCCGAAAGGTTTTATCCGTGATCTGCCCCCGCTGGATGGCGAGAACCTATACATGGGTTAGCAGGGTTTTCCTCAACTAGGTATCTCCCACCAACAAGGCATCACCTAATCCATGACAAGCTCTGAGCTGCCAACAGGGGAGTTAGTGTAGTGCATGTAAGTGAGTAAGTAATGGGCGAGGAAAGGACAAGGAAGGGAAAGAAATGATCTCGCGCGGTCCGTGACCCGTTTGTGAGGTTACTTCTCTGGCAGTCGCTTGTTGCGGCTGAATTCGATCTAGCTATGTTTCTAGCGTTGAAAACCCTAGGATCTGCACCGCGCCTCTTAGCCCAGCGGACCGCCTTTTGCACGAGACCATCTGCGAGTGCAGGTATCCTCCGGATGCGATCGACGGCCTGCGCGAGCGCTACGACTTCGTGGTGGTGGGCGCGGGGTCTGCGGGCTCCGCCGTGGCGGCGCGCCTCTCCGAGAACCCCGACTGGTCGGTGCTGCTGCTTGAGGCCGGGGGCGACCCGCCCCCAGACTCGGACGTGCCGCCCCTCTTCCTCGCGCTCCAGAACACCGACGTGGACTGGCAGTACCGCACGGAGCCGGACCCCAAGAGCTGCCGCAGTCTGAAAGACCAGCGGTGCAACTGGCCGCGCGGCAAGGTGAGCTTTCCAAAACATTTCCGGTCGGGAGTTTACAACAGTGTGTTGTGCCAAACAGATTGGGAGGGTGTGAGAAATGTTAAACAGAAAGCAGGCAAAACTTTGTTTGTGTTGTGTACAGCAGGGAGTATAACGGGAGTACGAAGGTCGTTGCGAAACTAATTTCTCCGATTTCTTTGTATGACAACTATAATAAATAAAAAAACACTTAATATAATGTGTTAGAACAGAATTTTGCGAACACAACACTACTCGTATTTCTCCCTTTTTTCCTAAGCATTTTATCCTCCTATGAACAAGAGCGTACGCTGGTAATAATCTCCTCCAGCCGAGGTGACCCGTGCAGGAATTCATATGGCGCCATTCCATGGATTACTTGTTTTATTTCTGGATGATAATGGTGACATCATGTCGCGTCATCTGTGATAATTCGATCCATAAAAACGCCAGCATCAGCTTCGTATTAGGTCAAGAGCTCCTCACAAACTTCCATTCGGTGCTGTTTATGTTGTCTTTTACGTAGCTATCACTTCCGCTGAAACGCTCTACCCACTGTCGCCACACTGAAATAACATGCACTCCATGCTTCTCGTAAAAGTTCAGCAAGCGACTGTACATGGCAAATACGTGCAATTTCCTCAGAAATGAGAAATTTAGTTACCTATCTCTGTTTCTGACGCGCATTCCAGCCAGACGCCATTTCAGCGTACTGTAACTGTGTTTCTATCTAACAATTAGCAACAAAATTAAAGGAACAGTAATGGAAAGATCAAATTTTACTATGAAACTACTCACACTAGTTTTCAGATCTTACGCCAACGTAAAAAATGGGAGACATTACTTTCCGAACGTTCTAGGTAATAAATAAATTCAATTAATCGCAGCCCTAGAAGAATATGTGATAAAGGCGAAAACGTGGATATATCATTGCAAAAGGGTACATTCTTACGTGAATTTAAACTAACTTTCTCATATTTTAATGATATAAAAGTATCTAAGATGTCAAATAGCAAACAAGTTAATTCTCACAACATAGAGAAAACATTTCGAAATTAATCTGAATGGTTCAGAGAACATGAAAGTATAAAGCGTAAAATGGGAATTACAAACATTAAATAGGGTATTTACAGTTTCTGGTTTCAAAGGAAGAAAATGAATGTGAATTAAAAGAAGTGAATTAAATGAAGTTCAATTCAGAGATTTGTTCAAACTCGATTTAATAACGATTTTGGTGACATTTTCTAAAATCCTTTTCAATGATTTCTGCGAAATGTTCTTCACGCATCATCGCCACAGCGCTCCGGCACACAGGGTTGCCAATTGCGTTTATCTTTTGCATTTTCCGCCATCTTTTAACACGGAGGTTTCTGAAATCTTCCATGCTTCCTACCTCTACCATTCGAACGGCTCTCTCTTCATTCATTCGAATTAGGTGACCCAACCATTCCAGTCTTTTTACTTTAATACGTGTAACTATTTTCGAGGTTTTAAATACTTCTTCCAATTCTGCGTTAGTTCGATTTCTCCAGATTTGATTATTTTTGATCGGGCAAAATATTCTTCCGAAGATTTTTCTCTCCCATACTGCGAGTATGTTTGCTGCTTTCATTGTTAGAGTTCATGTTTCACTACCGTACATTACCACAATTTGAATGATGGTGTTACATAATTTCAACTTGACGATCATTGATATTATTGGGGTTTTAAAGAATCGGTAGAGACTACCATAACATCTTTTATCTGCTGCTATTCTCTTATTAATTTCCTACACACATAACTTTACCAAATCAACAGTACGATTCCCAGCACAATACAGTTTTGTTTTCCTGGATTGATTTTCACAATATCGTTTAGATTGCTGAGTGAAAAAGAGCTTTGTATTTTCAGGGTACTTATGCCCAGGTTTTCAAAAAAAGTCTATTTGCTCTTTTTAGTGATATCATTTCAATAATACTAAAACTTTATAGGGAAACAAATCGAAAAGAAAACTCTACTTAAAAATAGAAAACGTCGTCATGAATGATGAAAATACACATGTGTGAGGGGATTATTTATTCACATTACGTTTACGCGTGGAATTAAGAAAATAAAACCAGCGAATCACACTACCTACCAGAAACGCGATAGTGCTAGTAATAATACCTATTTCAGTTGCCACAACACGCCTTGGTTTGTACGAGTCATCACCTTGAACATTTAACTGCAGCGCATACATAAAACATTAGAGGAAGTGCAATGTCATTAAATTAAAGAGTTGTACCTTAACGTGAATGCGGTTGTGAATGCGGTTACGTCATGTACAATTCGCAGCGTAGAGTGATTTTCTGATACCAGTAGTCGAGTGTCGAAGAGCGAGGGCACTCAAAATAACCCTGACCTAAATATCGCAAATTCCAGTTAACGCAAAGAATACAATTAAAAAATTACACAGTATATCACTGTAACTACTATTACAATTGAAAATGTTCGGTTAGGTTATTAACATATTTAAAAATCTTATGTTAATATTATTAGTAGTATTAATACTGAGATTGTCGATCTCCACTATTTACCTCCCCCCTTCCCTCCTCTTCAGCTCACCAAAAGCAAACATTGTGCTCTGAAAACCTGGTAGCAAAAGCGCTAACTCGACATTCAGGGGAAAGGAAATGTATTTTGTGAAAATTGGAGTTATTGTGCTTAGGTGAATTGAGTGAATTGAGTTGTCATTGAGTATCAAATACTTGAAAAAATCTACAATCGGCAAGAAGAATTGAGTCAAAACAGTTTTAACATTGTTGTTACGTTAGTTTGTAACCAACGCGACCAACATAAAATAATACTTCCATCACCTTCCACGAGTACTTTCCTAGTATCATTTCATGAAAAAGTGACTTGCTTTCTTTTGCACATTTTGTTTTTAATGTATTCTACTACCGTTCCGAAGTATGCTGTGATATACGAACGCACGAAATTTTGTTTTGAGTTTCCCCCATTCTCACTCTGAAGTCTTGACTCCCTCACCTGGGCCTTTCGAATTTTACTTTAGACCATGATACGCAGCTTCCAACCATCCTTTAGACCATCCCAGAATGATGCAACAGAAGATGAAAAAAGACTCGCAAACTATCCAAATTATCTTGAAGTGAAGACAGCAGAAGATTCAAATGATACCTCCCCCTAAATCTCAGTCATGTATTTACAATTGCATTTATAAATCATGTACTAACTTGAAACAAACTTGCTATGTTATTATTGCACAATCATTACAACGTTGAAATCACTACATAAAGTTAAAAACCAACGACTCGTATCTGAGACGTACTGTCACATGAAAACTCTTCAATCATGTTAATTTTATTTATAAATTATATACCGAATGTTCACGTAAAGAACAAATTGTAAATAAACAGTTGATTTAAAAAATTATATGAAATAATTATTTAATAAAATATCGGTTGATTAAAAACAATATCTCGGCGGCGCCCGATCGAGGATAAGCCTGTAAGGCATTTGTAGTACTAACGGAGGAACAAACGGCATTCCAAAAATGCTGTGAGGGGGGCAGTGTTGGTAGGCACAAACGTGAGGGAATTACTGATGCTTAGTGAGCAGATTTTTATGGTTTTGGACAGCTGCATTATGCCATTGCCATTTTTACGATCTTTGTTAACCACTCAGTGATTTTGAATTTTCTTAAACAGCGCTTGTCTTGGTGACGTGAGCTTCGTCTGACACTGAGTATCGTCTACTGTATTCTGACCGCGAATGCTCCATTCACCCAGAGAAACATCTTTGTTTTTGCATATTGTATTTTTAAAAGGAAAACATAGGTTAGCGTTAGCCTCTTTTCCCCGAATGCGGTTTCCTTTAAAACTCCTCGCATGGACGTCGGGATGTTTTGCCGAGCGCAGACCTCCCGAGGTTAGTCAGCTGTGGAGAGGTCGTGATGGAGAAAGTAAGAGACTTCTGAAAGAAAATTTGGAACAATATTTAGAGGAACATGGAATAATTTGGGTGCTTATTGTTTGGCATGTTAAACGCATGATATAAGCGTTTGCGGAGACAGGGAATTTGTGTGCAACATATTAAAATTGAGAAAATAAGAAGAACTTAGAATTCAAAAAAATATCATTAATATGTAAAATTATTTAAAAAAAATTAATTGCCTATTTGAATTTTCAGGATCTAAATGCATATTTCTAACATCCTACTGATGTGAATTTTAGAGCATAAAAGCCCGCTCTTAATGATATCACTGAGCTCACTGTTGCACAACAGTACAGCCTCAACGGAACCTCAAAATCTCTCTGGCTGTCTGATGTGTGATGTAATGATGTTTCTGCCTAGGTGATGGGGGGCACGAGCAGCATCAACGGGCAGATCTACATGCGCGGCCACAAGTGCGACTACGACGAGTGGGCGGCGCTAGGCAACGCCGGCTGGGCCTTCGAGGACGTGCTGCCCCTCTTCAAACGCTCGGAGAACCTCGAGGACGAGGAGCTGTGGCGCGAGCCGCGGACGGCGCGGTTCCACGCCAAGGGCGGCCCCCTCACCGTGCGACCGCACGGCCTGCACTCGCCCGTCGGTACGACTATTTCATCTACTAATGCACAGAAATGAAAGAGTACATCCTTCAAATTGAGACTCAAATATAGTAATTTTGAACCGACTGAATCTGAATTTCGTTCAGATCAGGAGTTTTAACGAACAAAGCTTCTTGTTGGTAAAAGGGCCATCCGCCCAAAAGCATTTGTTTGCAAACCCCCATAGAGAAGTCCGAGCACTTGCACGCGCTCGGAGGGGTGTGTGTGTGAGGATAAGGGCCCTACGGTCAAGGTGCCCTCCCTGGGGAGTACCGATCTGGGCGGCCTAGGCGGCTAGGAGCATGCAGAGACCGAAGGGTCGCGCGCCGCGAGCACGGTTGCTTGTCGCTTGTGTCGGCCTCGCGTTGTGCTGAATGTGCGGCGTCCGCAGGCGGGCTGCTGGTGGAGGCGGGCGCCGAGCTGGGCTACCGGCGGCTGCGCGACTTTAACGGCGCCGAGGCGTTCGGCACGGGCGCCATCCACGGCACGCTGGCGCGCGGCGAGCGCTGCAACGCCGCCAAGGCCTTCCTGGGCGCCGCGCGCGCGCGCCGCAACCTGCACGTGGCCAAGCGCTCGCTCGCCACGCGCCTGTTCGTCGACCCCGCCACGCGCCGCGCGCGCGCCGTGCGCTTCCGCAGGGACGGCGACGACCACGACCGCGAGGTGCAGGTAAACCACTAGGGGAAGATCACGTCAAGCACTAGGCGGCGACAGAGATACAAGTTTACAAGGAATAGGGATGTACTGGGGTAGGAAGAGGACAGGGATGAGGCAGAATGAGGAAGGAAGAGAGATGATAAGAGAGAGAGAGACAGAACGAGGGGAATGCAGGTCAGACACGGCTGGGATAAAGAGAGGGAACCATAAACACGCAAACTATTTTTACACATTTGAATCACGATATTGAAATTAGATATGCAAAATTTGCCTTCACCTAACAAACACACTTCAAGATCAGTTTTTTGAAATGGTTACCTATTATTTAATTGTTACCACCTATAAAAATCGGTGATTATATTTTCAGTTCATTACTGAATAAATACAAATAAGTGTATGTCTTTAATACTAAACAGATATTTTGAATTCAATTAGGGTCTCGTATTACCTTATCTTTGCCTAGCATAATTTCGTTGAAGTATAATATAAATTTAACTAACTATAATTTGAATACATGAGGTGCTGAGCGGTCGACAATACATGACTGCAGTTTTTTGGTGGTTTAGCCTGCTCTAAAATCGCATGGTCATTGAAACCTGTAGTTACATATTCAGTTGATTATTATATACGAGGCTTTATTATTCTTTCGATTCGAAATGAAAACAAAACAAAACAACTTTTACAGGTCGATAAAGAAGTGATAGTGTCCGCGGGCGTGATCAACTCCCCGCAGCTGCTCATGCTGTCGGGCATCGGCCCCAAGTCGCACCTGGAGGAGCTGGGCATCCCCGTGGTGGCAGACCTGCCCGTGGGCGATAACCTGCAGGACCACTCCATCTACCCGGTGATCATCTCGCTGGACGACACGCCGCTCATGGACCCGATGGAGCAGGCCTTCCTCTACCTCAAGAACCGCACGGGCCCGCTCTCGTCCCTCGACGTCACCTCCATCACCACCTTCCTGCAGGTAGCCTGTGCTTCGAACACACACGCTCCATGGCGATCTCATTCAGGCGCACAGGCTCTCGTCCTTTAACTATGGTATTTAACGCCACCACCTTCCTGCGCGTTTTCATTCACATACACACGCTTACTTTCCTAGACGTCACGTCCCTTATTCTTGCCGTCTCACAGGTCCCAGACTCACACAGTCCCTTTACAAGACATTTTCATTGGAAAATCGTAGTTTTTTGGTTTTTCAAATAGATAGAGCTGGATTTAAGAATAGTTGGGCCCCAAAACACAGTTTTAACAGAATAGTGTCACTTTCATTAAAACTAACTCTTTTAGTTTTACCAAAATCAATAATCTTTTCATTGTGTGCTAATTATTATATTTTTTTTATTTTGTCTATGGGATTCCACTAACGTTTGCCACATCACTATCAATTTGAGTATGGAACATTTGAAGATTTTCGTAAACATAATCAGTTGCAATAAACGAAATAACGTATAGTTCATATGAGACTACTTTGATGTGTATCAAATGTTTTAAAAAATTACTTTAAAAATTTAAATAGAAATTTTGTCGAACAATTGACTATTTCAATTACAATTATTTTACATGCACAAAAATATTTTATGCTTATTTATCCTAAGCGCGGGGCTCCTCATAGATGGCTCAAGGTCATGCAACAAATAATTTGCTAATTATTATCGTTACCTGACGGGGATTTCACGGAGCTGACTAGATATAGTCAGTTTCTCTTTCAAAGCGACCCGATCAGATCTCACTACTTTTATTTGAGTGCCCTTTCAAGGACTCCCGATCAGACTTCCGAGTGTTAATCAGTCTCCCTCTGCCCCCAACGAAATGTAACCTGTTTTGTAGGCAGCAAATTATAATGTTCATTTACCAGTTCTAATAAATGCCACTAATTTGCCGTTTATTACCTGTGCCACATCATCAGCAACTTTTATTTCAAAATCAACCGACTTCAGTTGCTCAGAGCATCATCGATGTCACTGCAATTCATCTCACCGGGAGATCCCAACGTAGTCCCAACGCTGACAGGTTCTCGACCCCCGCAACAGAGCTAGTCCGTAGGATGATTCTCGCAGTCGCTGCTGCTGTCGAGAGTTTTCCGTGACTCCTCCGAACAACACCAGGCGAATGCCCAAGCAGTACCCTAACACGAGGACCGTGCAATCTTCGCCTCCGCTTCTTTGTCCTTCCCGTTACTTACACACACTTGGACTTGCACTGCACTGCACTGCACTACTACACACATCAGGAGAGAAGCCGGGAGCATAGGGCTTGACCCCGCTTGGGCAGAGCAACGCTGGTGGGAGATACCTTGTTGAGGAAAACCCAGCCAGCAAACTTGTAGGTCTCGATTGCCAGTGGGGGAATATCATTGCCACCTCGCGCGATAAAAACATGCACTACAGTTACGAGACTAATGACCTTAGTAGTCAGCGTGCCCAGAATCATTAACCAGTCTTCAATCTTGCGATGAAACATGTACAACACTTATGGGACTAATTACCTTAGCCGTTGACACACCCGAAATCACTAATCAATCGACAATCCCGCGATGAAAAATATGCCCTACGCCTTCGGTACTAACCCCTGTTTTACACGAACATTTTTCGCCAGTACAGAAAAGATACAGGCCAAATTGTACATAATTTGTAAAAAAACGACACATCTTAATTTTTCGGTTCGTGCGCAGGCGGGCGTGCCGGCGGGGGCGGAGCCGGAGGGGGCGTGCCCCACGGGCCAGGTGCACTACTTCCACTTCCCGCGCGCCACCGCCGCCGCCGCCGTGGCGCTGCTGGAGCGCGACCTGGGGCTGCACGCGGAGGTGGCCGAGCAGCTGCGCGCGCTCAGCCGCAGGCGCGAGTTCGTCATGGCCACGCCCATCCTGCTGCGCCCACGCAGCAGAGGCCGCGTGCGCCTGCGCAGCGCAAACCCGCGCGCGCCGCCCAAGATCTTCTCCGGCTACTTCCACGACGACCGCGACCGCGACGACCTCGTGCTGCTCATCGAGGTGAGTGGGGATGCACCAGCGATCAGGGCACGAAGGACCTGGTGC